GGGTCAGTGCTTCAGCTCTGACGTGTCATCCCTCAAGCCCCAGGAAGTCATGGCCTCTAACCCAAGGCTCCATCCCAGCCGACAGTGTGGAGCACTGGCTCACACATCCCACCTCATCCTGGCTCACGTGGGAACAACGAGGGTCTGGGGGAAACACACCTGCCGTCTTCAAAGATAACCATCAGCACCTCAGCTAGACCGATATGCATTACTTAAAGTCAGTTGAAAGGATAAGAAAAGGGTCCTAGCCAGCTCTGTACATATCAGTACATGGAAATAGAGTTAGACTCATCCAAAATGGAGGCAACTGCTCCACTTTCAAGGACAGTCACCTAGGTGTCCTCCACAAACACCCGTGGTGGGTCTTCCCATTACCCACACTCAGAAACTCTGCTAAACCAATCAGTGGTCTAATTTAGTAATCACACACCCTTAACCCCAGCATCACACATCCTAGATGCAGTCACCTCCAAAAAGTCCCACCTATGAATGCAAGAACCTTTGGGAGCACTTCTAGGTACAAGTCACTACAGCCCGGGATGTACAGCAGCAATTGCTGCTTCTTGTCCATACCTGCCTACTTCTCTGGCCAAGACGCAGGAGCATATACACTTGCTTCTCATTGCTCTTCACCTCCGTGGTCCTAAAGAACTCTCTGTCTTGATCTCCCAGCTCTGAGGGGTATCCACAGTCCTCTCCTCATAGAAAATAGGCCTCAGTCTCTGATACTTTCCTGTCTCTGCCCCCCACACGCACCCACACACTCTGCCCCCTGCCCGCCTTCCCGTATAGTTACATCACTGCATTTGCCTACACATATGTTGGGATGTTGTTTAACTATGTAAATATTCTTCCCAGATGAGCTGGCTGTATATTTTTATTGTAGTTGCATTTTGGCATTGTTCTTGTTTGGTTTTCGAGACAGGTATTTGCTATGAAGCCCAGGCTGGCTGCAAACTGGCAGCAATCCCCCTGCCTCAGCCTCCCAAGTGCTGGGATTACAGATGTGTGCCACCATGCCCCACTTTTATTGTATTTCTTTCCAGTGCAACTTTGGTTTTCTTAAAACAATCATGCATAGTCTTTTTGTCATTTTCTTTGTTTTCTTAGTAGTATAATATGCTTCATTTAATTTTTGCACTAAGAGAATTTTAAGAGTAATAGATAGTTGAGTTGAGTAACCAATAAATAAGCTATGTGAAAATGTTTAATAGGCTGAAAATCACCATGCACAAATGTGATATTGTTTAGTGCTATTGATTTAATTTTTATTTTTATGAGTCAGTGTTTGCAGTACAAAATGATCACACACTCATGTGGAGTTGGTAATCGCATATAACACACTTTAATTCTGTTTTTACCACCTTCTTCTCCCCTCCCTCTGTCTCTTGTGATTTGTGGTTATCTCACCTCAGCCTTCCAAGTAGCTAGGATCATTCTACCTAGTCCAGCTTCAACTCTTCCTCCTTATTGATGTCTAAACTGGTTTTAATGGGATCTGTTCTTGTACTCCCTACGACATAAAAAAGGTTCGTAAACCTAAAAACTGAAAATTTGTAGGTAAATTTTTTATACTCCTCACTTTGGCACACTATGCTGGATGTAAGATCATATGATGGACATCATTTTCCCTCAAATCGTAAGGCACTGCTTATTATTTTCTAGCTCCCACCACTGCATTAGGAAGTCAGGTCACCTTGTCTGCCATCCTTTCTGTGACCTGTTTCAGAAGTTGCCAGGATCTTCATCCAGAGGGGACTCAGAGTCTGGTGTTCTGGCCCTCGGGCAGCCTCTCTCTATCTGGAAACTCAGGTCCTTGAACTTGGGAAAACCTTTTTTTTTTTTTGGTTTTTCTCTGGTATTGGGAACCAAACTCACAACCTTGCGCTTGCCAGGCAGGCGCTTTTGCCGCTGAGCTAAATCCCCAGCCCCTAAGGGAAAACGTTCTTAAATTCAGGTGTTTCCCTCCCCAAGTTGGTTCCTCTGCTTCTTTTCTATATGTTTTTCTTTTCGGAAGCCCCTCTGATTTAGTCATGATGAACCCCCTAAATGAACCCCAGATCTTACATTTTTGATTTTCATTGCTTTCTCCCTCCTTTCTCAGGATTTCCTGCCTTACCTTCCAGCTCTTCTGCCACCCACTTCCCCCAGCTCAGACTCTGGGCCTGGGGCACAGCCTGATGACCAAGCCATGGCCCCTGGTGTGGACTCCACAGGTGAGCATGTTGGTGTCCTTCGTGCTGCCGCTGGCGCTCACTGCCTTCCTGAATGGGGCCACTGTGAACCACCTGGTGGTCCTCTACTCCCAGATTCCATCAGCCTGGGCCCCGGTCAGCTCCATACCCTGCCACCCGGAGCTACTGAGTGAGGAGGGTCTCCTGGGTGTCATCACGTGGAGAAGACCCCCTTGGGTGCCCAAGCCAGCCTGGTGAGACACAGTGTGCCAGCCAGATCCACAGCCTGCAGCAAAGCGTCCGGGTTCTCAATTGAGTCCCCACCGCGCTGCCCCAGGGAGAAGGCCCTGGGGGTCAGGGTGCCAGTGCCCATCCTCAGCAAGCTCCTGTCCCTCCCTAGGACTGCCCGGCCCCAGGGCCAGCAATCCGTGCAGGCACCAGCCAGGCTTCCTCAGAGGCTCAGTGGGGGATAGCGTCCTCGTCACTTTCTTGGTCACTTGCACACAATGCC